TTTTTAATAAAAAAAATATGCTTTTTAAAACTATTAGCCTTTTCCGGTGCCTGGCTGGCTCAGTCAGTACAGCATGCAACTCTTGATCTTGGGGTTGTGAGTTTGAGCCCCACGTTGGGTGTAGAGTTTATTTAAAATAAATACGATAAAAAATAAATAAAACTATTGGCCATTCAGTGAGAACAGCTGCATGAAGAGTTAGGGAAGCAACATCAGTAAATTTAAATAATTTTTTTAATGTTTGTATTTTTTTTTTCAACGTTTATTTATTTTTGAGACAGAGAGAGACAGAGCATGAACGGGGGAGGGGCAGAGAGAGAGGGAGACACAGAATCGAAAACAGGCTCCAGGCTCTGAGCCATCAGCCCAGAGCCCGACGCGGGGCTCGAACTCACGGACCGCGAGATCGTGACCTAGCTGAAGTCGGACGCTTAACCGACTGCGCCACCCAGGCGCCCCTGTATTTATTTTTGAGACAGTGGGAGAGCATGAGCGGAAGAGAGGCAGAGAGAGAGGGAGACACAGAATCCGAACCAGGCTCCAGGCTCTAGGCTGTCAGCACAGAGCCTGACACGGGGCTTGAACTTGTCAACCGAGAGGTCAAGACCTGAGCCAAAGTCCGACATTCAACCGACTGAGCCACCCAGGCGTCCCACAACATCAGTAAATTTAAAAGCAAGGCAAATGATTTCAAATGTTTTTCCTGGGCTCTTAATGACTTAATCGATGTTGCCAATATTGCTCAGTTGATGATTCAAGAAGTCAATGCCAAGTTTGAAGTGCTAGAGTGACCAATTCATCCCAGTTTGCCGAGAACACTTCTAGGTTTAACACTGGAGGTCCCGTGTTGCAGAATCCTCCCTAGTTCCGGGTGAATTGGAATGATTTCTCACCCTAGAAATGACTGAAAAATTAGCCTCTTATGAGTAGTTTGTGTGGAGCAAGTATATGCAAACATATTTTCAAAGTTGAGAAAAAAATCAAATCAGTACAACCCGAAGTGGAATCTTCCAAGATGTGCACAACCAACGGCGGTAAAAATATGTGTGGAACAGAAAAAGGTTTTGTTGACAAACTTACAGTTTGTGAAACTGTAAGGTATTTAAGGCCTATTCACTGTATTATTCATCAGCACGTACTTATCAGGAAATACACGAACCCATCATGTGTTATTGAACCAATAGCATCCCTGACGTATTTCATTTATTCTTGTGGACTCGGCAGCCATCGTCGGGTCTGTGAATTTTTGACAGAAGCTAAACATCCTGACTTGCCCTGCCACACAGAAGCTGGACGGATCAGCAATGATAGTTTTCTTGAGACTTTCTGAGTTCAGGGCCAACGTTGCAAATTTCTGAATGAAAAGAACCTCCCTCAGCCATGACTAAACACTGAATACCTTTGGAAAGTAGCTTTTGCTGCAGACTTGATGAATTTTATTTTTAATTTTTTAAATGTTTATTTACTTTTGAGAGAGAGGGAGAGCATAAGTCGGGGAGAGGGGCACAGAGAGAGAGAGAGAGAGAGAGAGAGAGAGGGAG